GCAACTTGGCAAGACCTCATCTCTACAATAAATCAAAAAAAATTAGCTGGGTGTGGTAGTGCACGCCTGTAGTTCCAGCTACTTGGAAGACTGAGGCGGAAGGATCGCTGGAGCCCAGCAGGTCGGGGCTACAGTGACTGGGAGCATTCCACTGCACTCCAGTCTGGGCAACAGAGTGAGACTTCAACTCAAAAAAAAAAAAAAAACCAAAAAAACCCCACAAAACCCAAAGAGCTAGTAAACAAGCCCAGCCAAGTTTAGGATACAAGATCAAAATACAAAAATCAATTGTACTTCTAGACACTTGTAATGAACAATCCAAAAATTAAATGCAGAAAGCAACTCAGTTTACAACAGCATCAAAAAGAACAACAGACTTAGGAAAAAATTGAACAACAGAAGTACAGGACTTTTACTCTGAAAACTATAAGATGTTGTTAAAAGACAATAAGGAAGTTTTAAATAAATGGAAAAACATCCCATATTTATGCCCTGGAAGACGATATCTTTAAGATGGTGATACTTGGCTGGGCGCAGTGGCTCAGCCTGTAACTCCAGCACTTTGGGAGGCCGAGACGAGAAGATTGCCTGAGTTCAGGGGTTCAAGACCAGCCTGGGCAACTTGGTGAGACTTTGTCTCTACAATAAATCACAAAACTTAGCTGGATGTGGTGGCTTGCATCTGTAGTTCCAGCTACTTGGAAGACTGAGGCGGAAGGATCACCTAAGCCCAGCAGGTTAAGGCTGCAGTGGCTGTGAGTGTGCCACTGCACTCCAGCCTGGGTGGCAGAGTAAGACTCCAACTTACAAAAAAAGATGGCGATACTCCCCAAATTGATCTATAGATTTAATGCAATCTCTATCAAAATCCCAGCTGGATTCTTTACAGAAATTGAGAAGTTGCTCCTAAAATTCATATGGAAATGAAAGGTAGCCAAAACAATCTTGAATAAAAAAAGAGAAATTTGGAGAACTCACATTTCCCAATTTCAACACTTATATAGCTACAGTGATCAAGACAATATGGTACTGGCGAAAGAACAGAAATATAGGCCGGGCATGGTGACTCATGTCTTGCAATCCCACCACGCTTGGTGTTTGAAGTGGAAGGATCACTTGGGGCAGGAGTTTGAGACCAGTGTGGGCAATATAGTGAGACCCCTGTCTCTACAAAAAATTTTTAAAAATTAAAATGTAAAATAAAAAAGCTAGACACATAAATTGATGGGATAGAATTGAGTATCTGAAATAAGCCCTTACATTTATGACCTAGTGATTTTTGACAAGGGTGCCATGACCACTCGGTGGGGAAAGCATAGTCTTTCCAACAAATGGTACAACAGTTGAATTGCCGCATACGAAGAAATAAAATTGGGCCCTTACTTGTACCATGTACAAAATGTATAAATCAGAATGGATTAAAGACTTGAATATAAGAGCTGAAACTATAAAACTCTTGTTTTTGAGCCGGGCTCGGTGGCTCAGCCTGTAATCCCATGCTTTGGGAGGCTGAGGTGAGTGGATTGCCTGAGCCCGCGGGTTCGAGACCCGCCTGGGCAACTTGGTGAGACCTCATCTCTATAATAAATCAAAAAAGTTAGCCGGGCGTGGTAGCGCACGTGGTAGTTCCAGCTACTTGGAAGGCTGAGGCGGAAGGATCACCGGAGCCCAGCAGGTCGAGGCTGCGGTGGCCGGGAGTGTGCCACTGCACTCTAGTCTGGGCGACAGAGTGAGACTCCGACTCAAAAAAAACAAAAAACCAACTCTTGTTTTTGTTTCGTTTTTTTGAGTAGGTGTCTTACTTTGTTGTCGCCCAGGCTGGAGGACTGTGGCATGCTCTCGGCCACCGCAGTCTCGACCTGCTGGGCTCAGGTGATCCTTCCTCCCCAGCCTTTCAAGTAGCTGGAACTACAGGCATGCACCACCATGCCTGGCTAATTTTTTGATTTATTGTAGAGATGAGACCAAGTTTCCCAGGCTGGTCTCCAACCCATGGGAGAATTGCCTGAGCCCACAGGTTTGAGAACATCCTGGGCAACTTGGTGAGACCTCATCTCTACAACAAATAAAAAATTAGCTGGGCTTGGTGGCGTGTGCCTGTAGTTCCAGCTACTTGGAAGGCTGAGGTGGAAGGATCACCAGAGACCAGCAGGTCGAGGCTGTGGTGGCCATTGAGTATGCCACTGCACTCCAGCCTGGGTGACAGATGAGACTCCGATTAAAAAAAAAAGTCAAAAATACTGATATAGAGAATAAAACAGTGGTTACCACGGGTGTCGGGAGTTGGGGAAGGAAACAGAAGATGTAGGTCAGAAGATACAAAGTAGCAGATACGTAGGATGAGCAAGTGGAAAGATCCCCTACACAACTGAGGACTATAGGTAGTAATGTTGTATTGTATTACGGGTATTTGTTAAGTAAATCGATTTTAGCTACTCTTGTCATAGAAAAAAGGAACTATGTGAGATGATAGGTATGTTAATTGGCTTCACTGTAGTAACCATTTTACTATCTGTCTGTATCCCATAATATCATGTTGTAAACCTCAAATGTGCACAATAAAATTTATTTTAGAAAAAAAAAGCTGTTGAGAAGCAAGCTAGCAGGAAGAAGCTAGATCCTGATTGTTTATAAATATGCTGTTTCTAGATGTAAGGGCTGATGATATTTCTCTCTTTTTGTCATAGTTTTTCTCGGATACTGCAGGAAACTGTGAAAGAACTAGCCCCTCAATGTGATGTGACATTCTTGCTATCAGAAGATGGCAGTGGAAAGGGAGCAGCTCTGATCACTGCTGTGGCCAAGAGGTTACAGCAGCTGCAGAAGGAGAACTAGTAGCCCCCTGGGTCGGGCCCAGTGCACCTTGGATAACGACCAGCCTTTCCTCTGGCAGATGAGTTGGTTAGAGACCAGCACGCGACCTCTCAGCTGACTTCATCTCCAGGATGGCTGAAAGAGAACCCCAGGTTCTTGGGATCCTCTTGGCATCTTGTTACTGGCGTTGCAAGGGCATTACGTGACATCTCTGGAGTATTTGGGCCAAAGCCAGGCCAACCTGTGAAATCAAAGTGTCTGTTCTGAGAGCTCCCCTTTGAGCATATTTTTCAATCGAGGCCTGAGCTGTCAGTTCTCTGTGGCTTTGGGTCCTGTGGCTGCTGGACTTGGAAACATACACAGGATCTGCCCAGGTAGCCTGACTGGCTAAATTCCCCCATGGCAATGCTTAAGCCGTTTCTTATAGCAGATTGGGCTATAATCTACTTATGGATGAACATTTCAGCGGAAGAAGAACTCATCTAATGAACTGGGAACAGCTAATCTAACTTGTCCTTAACTTGCCGTGTTGACTTCCAACGTGAAGAGAGGACAAGTCTTTGGAATATCCAGCCCCAGGATGCAGAGAGGTTGATTGCCAGGGAGCCCTGTAGGAATCTTTTCACGCTTAAAGTGAGTCGTGTCAGCGCCCTGTACGATCTTGTCCTTTATTAAGTGTGTGTCAGGGGGTGGGGGGGGTATCCGGGGCATCTGTTTTTCATTTTGTGTGTGGTTTGTGTTGCTGCTCTTGTTTTAAGGACTGTTAGGTTTGTGAAATCCAGTAGATTAATAAAAACTGTTTGACTTTCCAAGAAACTTTGCATGAGGTGCTGATGTTTCTTTTGAGAGGCTCACTTGGTAACACCACACTCTTGGTGGAGCAATGGACATGTGGAGCCAGAAGGAGCTTGAACATCTCTCTGGTCCAAGCAGGGGGAGGATATGTAGCATTTCTCCCATAATATTCTTCATGGATTATCCAAGTGTTGCTTGAATACTTCCAGTAACTGGGCATTTACCACATGGTCCTACAGCTCTCACTTCTGAACAACTGCTGTTGATTAGAAGTTCTTTCTTTTTTTATTTTTGACTCAGAGTCTCACTCAGTTGCCCAGGCTGGAGCTCAGTGGCACACTCACAGCCACTGCAGTCTCGACCTGCTGGGCTCAGGCAAACCTTCTGCCTCAGCCTTTCATAATGGCTGGGACTATAGGTGTGTGCCACCATACCCAGCTAATTTTTTGATTTCTTGTAGAGATGAGGTCTCCCCAGACTGCCCAGGCTGGTCTCGAACACCTGGGCTCAGGCAATCCTCTCACTTCCGTCTCCCAAAGTGCTGGGATTACAGATATGAGCCACTGCACCCAGCCTGGAAATCCTTTTGACCTCCAAGCTGACCTTCTTCCCTGGAACTCAGTTCCTCCCACTACTTTCCATTCTACCCTCCAGAACTATGTGGAACCTGACCGACCCTGACCATTTCTCCAGGGAACATTCTGTCTCTCTCTTTTAATTTAAATTGCCTGTGGCTTTCAGCCGGGTGCGGTGGCTTAGCCTGTAATCCCACGCTTTGGGAGGCTGAGGTGAGTGGATTGCCTGAGCCCGCGGGTTCAAGACCCGCCTGGGCAACTTGGCGAGACCTCATCTCTACAATAAATCAAAAAATCAGCCGGGCATGGTAGCACGTGCCTGTAGTTCCGGCTACTCGGAAGGTTGAGGTGGAAGGATCACCAGAGCCCAGCAGGTCGAGGCTGTGGTATCCGGGAGCAGCCACTGCATTCCAGTCTGGGTGACAGAGTGAGACTCCAACTCAAAAAATAAAATAAAAAATAAAAAAAAATAAATTACCTGTGGCTTTCTATTTTGTCACATAGTTATCTGTATGGGTTTTTAAAAATCTGATCACATAGACTGTAAACTTAGACACATTTTTATACTGTCCAAGTGAACCCAGTACTGTGCCATTCTTTTTTTGTTTGTTTGTTTGTTTGAGTCGGGATCTCTGTTACTCAGGCTAGAGTGCATGGTGTCATCATGGCTCACTGCAGCCTCAACGTCCTGGGCTCAGGCAGTCCTTCCACTTCAGCATCCAGAGTAGCTGGGACTGCAAGGCATGTGCCACCATGCCCGGCTAACTTTTTATTTTGTTTTATTTTTGCGGAGATGAAGTCTCGCTATGTTGTCTAGGCTGGTCTCGAACTCCTGGGCTCAAGCAATCCTCCTACCTCAGCCTCCCAAAGTACTGGGTTTACAGACATGAGTCACCATGTCTGGCCACCGTGCCATTCTTATTAAACACTTCTTGGAGGGAGGCATGGTTTAAAAAGATCTTTTCAGGAAATTTTCCTTAGAAAAAGTACAGACTATTATCATGGGAAAAAAAAGAATGACATTCTGGATAATCCAGGATTATTTGATTTTTATTTATGTGCTTAATTTCATACTTAATTATACACCATTTTGACTCCACAAAGCATTGTTGGCTGCCTGTTCAAAAGACTACGATTCCCAGTGCTAAGTGTCCCTATTTGCTGAGCAGGATGTCCATACAGAATGGAGGAGACTGAGTGTCAAGGGTGAGATTGAGGCCGGTCAGGGATGGGGGCAGATGAGGGAGCTGAGGGGTCCCTGGGAAATTTTTTTTTTATACATTCAGTAAACATGTATCGTGATACAATTGTGAGCAGGTCCTAGATTTACCAAAATTAACTTTTCTGTATTTTATGATTTTACCTCTCTGGAGAAATGCTGCATGGGTTTGTTAAATGTGTCTTTTTGCATTTTGAGCTTGTGTCTCTTTGGAGAAATGGTTTACCTTATTGGATTTAGTCTTAGTCAACTGAAACCTTGTTCTCCTTATTATCTTTCTGCAGTTCTCCCATTCCTTGTAAGGCCCCCTCAGTTCCAGTCCTTCTTGCCCCTGGTTTGGTGAGGGTTCTCTCTTTTTGCCATCCTTTCTGGATGAATGATTTGACCTAGAGATTCAGGTTGCTGTGCTACTGAGTCCTCTCACAGTTTGGTCTCTCAGCACTTGTTTTGTAGACTAGAAGGGGGATCACCCAGCCACTTCTCTCCCAGCTCTAGTCTGTCACGAGAAAAAGGAACTCCAAGGTGTCTAGGCAACCTTGTGCATTCTGAGTAATTGATGGCATCATAGAATCATTGAACAAGAACCAGTACTTCAGAGAGGGAAGACATTATCTTGCCATTTGGGAACAGTATGGCCCCTGAAACATCTGGGGCAATGGAGGGCTAACATCTCAAAGTTTATTAGGCAAGACCAACAACCATACAACAAGGTAAACTCTCTTCAAGAGAATCCCAAAGACTTTTCCTTTTTTTCTTTTTTTGAGACAGGGTCTCACTATGTTGCCTAGGGTGGTTTTAAACTCCTGATCTTAAAGAATCTTCCTGCCTCATCCTCCTGAGTAGCTGAGATTACAGGCATATACTACCAGACCCAGCTGACTTTTCCTCTTAAGAAGAGCACCTTAATCTATATTTTCTAGCCTTGTTGTTACTTTTTTTTTTTTTTTTGAGTTGGGGT